CTGGCTGGCATGTGGTGCTGGGGGATTGAACCGCAGTCCCTGTGCTTTGCTTAGCTTGTTCTAAGTAGGTGCTTTAGACCACTGAGCCATCTCACCAGCCCCTAATCCCAGCTCTTGGGAGGCTGTGAACAGGTGGATCATTATGAGCCTGATCTAACAGTGAAACCCTGAACACCCTCTAGACCCTTCCCTAAAAAAAAGAGATCTTTTTCTCAACAAGGGAGAAATAATTATGTATGGGGAGATAGTGACCTAGCAGGGACAGGAAGGTGATGACAGAGGGCAGAGGCAAAGGGTGGCTCCTTAAGTGTGAGGGAGGAGGCGCACAGCACAAAAACACAAGCAAGGACTGGCACCAACAAGAACCAGAGCTGCTCACTGAAAGAAATGAGTGGGAGGCAGCATGCGGAGACAGATGCTGGTGGTAGGCATATGCCGCAGTGGCCAGCTGCAGCCCTCTTGTGAACACCTGGCTTCATCCATGCACTGAGAAGCACCATGATTCAGCAGGGTATGAGGATGGTAGAAGGACAAGTCTGAAGAAGCAGGTATGAAATATGGCCTAGGGGAGGAGAAGAGTCAATGGATTAAGGAAACTATTTTCAAGTGCCATTCAATTTATCTGAGAGAAGGCAAAAACGCAAACAAAAGGTGATAAGAGGAAAGATAAATAACAGATTAAACCTTATTCCAGCTTCCTACATAAATGCACGAGTGTCTCAATAGGCTACCTACCACAAAAAGAAAGTCAAGATTTCTTATTCCCTGGGTGTAATGCGGGCATGCAGCTTGTCACAGTGGCTTAAATACAGCAAGTGTTTGACTTACAGTTGGTGTGTGGATGAGCTACAGGAGGGGTTACCAGGCAGGGGTTGTTGCACTGTTACCAAACACATTTCAAGGGGCCTAAATTTGCTGTCACACAGATAAGCCTGTGCTGATAATCTTGAAGGCCAGAATCCTGAGGGTTGAAATGCCAAAAATCACCATGCTGAAAAATTAAAACCTCTGAAATTCTGCAAGTCAGACTTTTTTGTTTTAGAAATCTGGTTTTGTTTTTGAATTTTTCCACTAATTTAAATTGTCATGGGGCCTGGCCCTAGCTCAGTCCTTTAAGTGGCTGCTTCCACAAAGCTGTCAGCCTCAGGTTCCTGGAGTTCGAACCTCACAACTCTCCCACTGGCCAAAAGTGCCCTGAAGGCATTCGAGGAAGAAAAAAAATATAAAATAAAAAAATAAAATAAATTGTCAGGTTTTTTTTTTGTTTTTTGTTTTTTTTTTTTTTTGCAATTTGCAGTATCATTTCAAATACTGGAGGTATAAATTGTTTGAATGTGTAGGGAACTCTAGTTAATTTTATGCTTTTTTCATGAATCTGGCTCTGAGAAAGCTCAGTATCATGTTGTCAGCTCTGTAGAAGCACAACCCGAGTGTGTAAAGTCATTGTGACTGCTAAAGTCAGAGAAGAGATGTCCCATTTCCATGTCTGCGTGTGTGAAAGCTAACATTCCTTCAGCGCTTGGCTTTTTGGTGATGTCAAAGCTTCTGACTGATCTTTCCACGAAGCTTGGGTTGTCTGCCATCAAACCTTAGGTAACACAGTGCTGAAGCTAGGTGTACACAAGCATTAACCACAGTTATGTGTTTATATAGTTTGCTTGTCGACTATGAATATATTTGTCTGCTTATAGCTGCCACACACATGCAATCATACTTGAATATGCCTACAGAGACATATTATAATTGTAACCATGCATGATGCATCCCTGTAATCCTAGCACTTGGGAGGCTGAGGCAGGAGGGTCGCCATGAGTTCAAGGCCAGCCTGGGTTAGAGAGGGAGACCCTATCTCAAGAAAAGGCCAGGGCCAGGGATGTAGCTCAATGAAACAGCACCTGCCTGGTGAGCACAAAGTCCTGAGTTCGATTCCTGGTACCCCGCCCCCCCAAAAAAAAAGAAAAGAAAAAAGATGGCTGGGAGATAGCTCAACAGTCTAAGCACCTGCCTGGCAAGCACAAGGAACAAGTGTGATGCCTGGTACTGCATGCCATGCCAGCCCTGGAACACTGGGTGAGCCACGCCATCCCCAACACCAGGGATGGTGGCACACACCTGTAATCCCAACTCTAGGGAGGCTGAGACAGGAGGATCACTACAAGTCTGAATTGTATAGCAAGACCCTGTATCAAATAAAGAAAAAAGAAAGGAAAAGAAATACAGTATATTATAACTATCTATCTGATTCTGATAAATGGCCTATAGAGTTTTTAGATGTTTCTCAAATAAATCTCATTTTAGAAGTATAAATGTCTTTTAAATTTTTAAAAAATTATTTTTCCATAGTTATATTGAATCAAATTTCCCCCACAAAGTCAACATTAAACCGAACCACTGAAGTTGATTCAGTTCTCATCCAATTCAGTTTGCGACCAGAATCAAAGAATTAAGTTTGTATATGAGGGTACCACTGTACTACTGGTGTTTTAGACTACAGAGGCTGATCATTTGGGATTTCAGCATTTGTGATTATGGTGTGTGAGGCTGTGTCTTTATTTTTATTTATTTATTTATTTATATTTGGTGGTACCAGGGTTCGAACTCAGGACCTTGCACTTGCCAGGCAAGCACCTGTTCCACTGAGTGATCTCCCTAGCCCCAAAGCTGTGTCTTCTGAGATGCACACAAACACAGCCATGTAGCACTGACTTCTCTAGAGAAACCCTCATGACTCAGCGGTGTAGAACTTCTACTACCTAGTGAGTCGCTTCACACAGCAGAGGAGAAAGCACACCCCATTCTCCATCTTGCTGTTGTTTACTTTGTTCAGCATCTCCTTCTTTAAGGGTTTCCTTTTCACCCACTCCCAGCTTTCTTTTGCTAGAGATAAAAGAGCACTTAGGATTCCCTTAGGTCTCTTGAGCTTTAGAATGTCCTCGTCATCATGGAACCCTCTTTCAGACTCACCCCACTTGCTCGGGTCTCTGAGAGCCTGAACTGACCACCTGCACATCGCTGGTGGCGGAGGGAAGGTGTTCTCCCTGTAGGCAAGGCCTCATGACTGCAGGCAGGATAAGGGAGAAAACGTTTCTGAGCAGAAGTGTTAAGTAAATCTGTGTCAAGTTAGCCCTGCCTCCCGCACACCAGCAGCTTATTTCGGGTCAGTTTCCACCATCCATGGCTCCAGGCAGGCCCAGCCCACGTGCCCGTGATGGGTGCTGGAGCTGCCCGCTCCTTGGTCAGGGTCTTCCCTGCCCATCCTGCAGTCCAACATTTATTACTAGGGCTTTCCTGTGGGGGAGCACTTTATGCCCATTATCTTTATCCTAATAAACCACTACTTACAGAGTTAGAGGCTGAATCAAGAACTAAATAAGCTGCCTAAGTCCAGGAAACCTGCGAGTGGCTGGGGCAAGAGTCCTGCCAGGATCTGTCTGCAAACATCACTCCTCTGGAGTCCTCTGTGCTAAGACTGTCTGCACCCTGCCCAGCCCCAGGCCAGCCTTGTGTCCTAAGACAGTGAGCTCAAGGAACAGCACATCATTCCGCTGCCTGGTTTGGGGCAGGGAGCTGCATCTGTAGACCCAGGACTGCTTTAGGGAGAGCACTAGGCACTTTTGCCCCTACTTAATTCATCTGTTGTGAGCTCAGTCCTTGCTCACAATCACCGGATAGCACAAGGCAGACATTTGCATTCTTGTATTAAGGATAATATACTGAGGCAAGTTGGGACTCAGTGAAATGTGAAGCTTGATTTTAAAGCCATGGAGCCGGCCCCTGGCTACAGGAGACCATCCCTTTGGGAAAGTATGCGAAGTCAGTTGGGGGACCAGAAAGCTGTACTCACACAGATCCCCAGGATGGCACTGGATGCAGCGTCAGACAGGGCTTAACCCCTGGGCCTCGGTGTCCACATCTGTAACAGCCTGGGTTTTTACTAAGAGAGCCCCTGGACCCTCCAGCTCTGAGCCAATACTAAAAGGAATGGGCAGCTGTCCTGTCCCTCCTGGACCACTCTCTTGGCCCTAGGCTCTTCTGTGACTGCCAAGCCTCAGACAGGTACACTGTCCCCCACCTGGGTTAAAGTGAAAACCAAGGGACACCTAAGGAATGCGACAGTCATTGGCAGGGGAGGCATCTCCGGGCGTGTAGGGGCGGGACCAAGCCCAGGAACAAAGTCCAGGCCAGAGGCTGCTCACCTCGGAAACGAAGGGGACGAGGTGTGCAGGGACAGACGGAGCTGTGCACAGACCAGAGAGGGGAACGGGCCAGAGACAGCGGGGCCAGAGCATCAGGGACAGTGCCAGTGGGACAGGGACAGCAGGGTCCAAGCATCAGGAACAGTGACAGCGGAGCCGGGAACCGTGCGACAGGGACAGCGGGGCCGCTTGGCGGGGACACTGGGGCCGCTGTCCGTCCCGGGCGGAGATGGAGCTGGAGGCCTCGAAAAGGGCCCCCGCGCACAGCGACAGTAACCCACGCAGCGGCAGGTGGGCCCGGGAACCCGGGAAGGGCTGGTGGTAAGGTGCCTCTGCGGTGGCTCCTGGATTGGTGTAAGAGGTCTCGGTCCACCTGGGAACAAGTCGAACCCAGGGTCACCGCCCGCGGTGGTGGCCAGCCTCTGCTCAGCCTGAAGAGAAACCCCGAGGTCTCTGGCAGAGCGCACCCGCCCCCTTCCCTTGCTCCCTCCCTGCCTCTTGCTCCCCTCTCTTTCTCTCTCCTCCCTTCTCCTCCCCTCCTTCCCTTCAAGGAGGTAGTTCTCCACCCGCTCTGTGTCTGCTGAGGCCTCAGTGCCCAGCCTGAAGCACCAGCTAGGAATGGGCAAGTCACAGCGGCATGCCACCTGGCCTGCGCTCCCGCTGGAGATTCTCCTCTGGTGTGGGAATCTCAGCTGCTGGGGCAGCTTGGCCAAGCCCCGGTGTGTGGCTCCTCTCCACAGTGAGAAGAGTGAATAAAGGCTGTCTTTAGCCTCAAATCATTATGGCTGTAACCTTCCCGAGCTCAGGCCTGGTCACAGAGAGCAAGCTGATGCTTGTGCCAAGACGTTGTAATATTCTGTGAGCTCATTTGGACAGTGACACTGTTCTATCCTAAGTGTCATGGAAGTTCTCCACAGAAAATTTAGATTTGCCATGGAGAATTAGAAAAGCAGAGGGCTGGTGTTATTTCCATTAGAAAAATGTGGTATTTATCAGCTGGCAACTGCTGCTGCGAATCCGTGCAGAGGTGGCTATTTTTGTGTCCACCTGGTTGTTCAGGGTGAAGAAGAGTATCCCCAAGAGGTGTGCCAGCACCCAGGAGACACTGGGTCCGCTGTCCACCCCAGGCAGAGATGGAGCTGGAGGCTGCTAAGACGGCACCCTCGTGCAGCGACAGTAACCCACGCCGTGGTTACTGTCAATTTTGAGAGAGGGTCTCACTAAGTTGCCCAGGTGGGGCTTGAACTTGTGATCCTCTTGTCTCAGCCCCCTTATTACCTTTCTGACCATATGTCTCATGTCCGTCCCAGGATGGCCTCAGGCGCTTAGGTTAGAGTCCCTGCGGGTGGAGTGGTTCACGGACAATCACGGAGAGTTAAGAACAGAGATGCTGAAATTAAATCCGAGGTTAAGTTTTATAAAAGCAGGCCAAGGATTTTACCTTCAAGGGAAACTAAGCCTACTTCTGTTACAAGCACAGTGTGAGCTACCAAGCTCAGCAGCAGGTGTGTGCCTGCTCCGCTTCCGAGCCGATGGCACATTCTTAGTGGGCTATGTTCCCCCAGTCACATAGTGAGAATTCAATATAACTTGAGAGTCACATGAGTAAAATGTGTCACCTATTGGGCAAAGGTGTTTACCTTAGACAAAAACCAAAACCAAAACAGCCTCTGCTCTCAATACATTATTGCAGGGTGGATAGACAAATATTGCATATACTAAATAAATAAGAAGGAGTTAATTCTATGTGAACTGAAGCCTCTTTTAGAAAGTGATGTGGTATGGAAAAGCATGAACATACTTGTAGGAAATGAGGAGTACCAGGTCGGGGTCTGTGCCTTTAGAAGCAGGGTGGCTGGGACTGCTGAGCACTCCCCACACCCCATGGTGCTGGGCTGGACCCAGAGCTTAGCACACTTGTCACCACAGGCTGCAGCCCTGCCTGGGTCTTCTTCTGAAGGCAGTATCTGAGAAAGACTAGGACAGAAGAGAGAGGAGTGGGAGGGGAGCCTTTCTGGTATGATCACCACACAAAGACCCTGAGATGGGACGTGTTTGGTGTCCACACAGCGGCAGAGACCAGGGTGCCTGGAGAGGAGCAAGCAGGAAGGAAGTGAGACATATGGTCAGAAAGGTAATAAGGGAGGCTGAGGCAAGAGGGTCACAAGCTCAAGTCCTGCCTGGGCAACTTAGTGAGACCCTCTCTCAGAATTGAAAAATAAAGGTTGGGGATGCATCTCAGTGATAGAGTGCCCCTGGGTCCAATTCCTAGTACAAAGAAAGAAGAAAGAAAGGTGAAGAGAAAGAAAGGAAAAAGAAAGAAAGAAAAGGAAGACATGTGGCATTGTAGCAGCCTGCAAGAGGACTTGGCACCTACTCTGGGAGAAGCAGGAGCCATTCTAGGGTTGAGAGCAGAAACTGACTGACCACCCCATGCCAACTCTGCCTGCTGGCTCAGGACAAGCTCAGGACGGCAGTGAGAGATAAGCAGAGGCTGCCTCTGTGGATGGGCAGAAGTGGGGAGCAGGGGTTGAATTCTGATTGAATTCCATACATAGCTCCCACATCCTTCAGGGGAGCAGGGCTACTGTTAGCTTTGTGCTTTTAAAGAGAAGAACTGTGCCGGCCAGCATACATTGCTTTCCCTGTAGGATCTCTGCCAGGCACAGCCTTTCCTCATGCCTGGATGTCCTCTTAGCACCTTGGACAGTACCCTCCTAGCTGGCAATGGCTGGCATATGTGGTGTTGTGGACACACATTATTTTATGCCTGAAAATGTTATACTTGAATATCATAGCTACTTGGGTTTGTGTTTGACTGCCAAACATTTTGTAACAGTTTTAAATTGATTTTATTTTTACAGCAACCAAGACAGGGAAGAAGTGAAGAAAGGGAATTTGATTGCACCACTAGCACTGGTAAGCTGTGAAATATGAAATGGGAATAATCCTAACTTCCATTCAAAGAGGACTTGATTCAGCAGCTGCAATGGCAACAGACTTTCCTGATGGGCCTGTGCTGTCTGGGCTGGCTTGTCACAGATGATGGACACTCTCCAGAGGCAGGGCAGGCTAGCTGAGACTCAGCCAGAGCTCCAGGTGCACAGGGAAGCTCAAAGAGAAAGTGTTTCCACAGCATCTTGCAAACTCCCCGTCTTGGAAAGTGTATCTTGGCACTGCGCTCCCTATGCTTACCTTAAAGTGGGCTTTCGGGTACAGGGGGCTGTGGGCCACAGAAACTTTCAAAACAGGAAATCCATGTTCACGTTTGGCTTCCAAGAAAAACTGGTCATCTATGGGATGGCTCCTGGGGATTTTGATTATGCTTAAGACCTCTCTCAGTGCTTTTCTTCTGGCTCAAGGTGGCCCAACATATTTTTGGAAGAAATCCAATCTTTTCATTTTTTAAAATTTTATTTTATTTTCAAACTACATTGGTAGGACAGTTTCAATAATTAACACATTGTATGCATTCTTCCTAGTGGCTTAATTGCTGTTAATCTTTTCATTTTTAATATGTCTCAGAGAAGCAGCCCAAGAAAGTATTTCCGTACTTTTGATAAACATGATGTGTTTCGAACTGACAGCCTTTATGGACAGCAAAGAAGTAGAATTTGTGGCATATCAGCTGAAACTTGAGCTCAGTGGGAAAATGGAAGCAAAGATCCCCAAACATTCACACATTACGCACATGTCTCAGTTACCACAGAGCTCTGTCATTCTCCTCCTCCACATTTTATGTGTTTCTCTTTTTAAAAGTTTCAGTAAAGACAAACAATTCCAACCTTGTGCTTGGAGAATATATTGCCTGTGATATAAAATCTGGTCTTAATACACAGATTTTTAACTTGTCTTCTATAAAAAATGAAACTATACATCATATAGTAGAAACACAGAAAATTTCACTTGAATGTAAAAACTTTAGGTTAAATTAAGTTTAAACTTAATATATATTCTTCCTCTGAGTAGATGGATACTCAGGATAAAACTGTTACATTATGAATACATTATTTTGTGGAAAACAGATTTAGATTTCCTTAGATGTTGCTAACCTAATTTTAAATTCAAGCTTAGAAACTTAAATTTAATTAATATGAAAAGCTTTAAAATTTAATATATAAAAGACATTAAAATTCCTCAAAGTCACGTAACATCCCCTAAGAGGACACTATGTGCTGACTCTGTGCTTCAAACTGTGGCTGACAGGCCACACACACTCCCTCCTTCCCTATGAGCCATTTAAAATTAATCTTGGAGAAGTTAGTATCTTCGGTAGTAATTTTAGGAACCCTTCCCCACTTGTTCTTTTTTTAAACTTAAAATAATGTTATTAGTACAAATCTGTACACGCAGCTTGTAGTCCTGCTGGAGACAGGTCGTTGCACACACCACACTTGTTTCTTCTAACCCCTTCTCTCTCTCTTCTCCCTCCCTTCTCCTCCAATTCCACTTCCCAAATCTCATTCTGGCTCACAATATTGATCTCAGCATAACCTGACCCCTTTCTTCGCTCTGAGCTGTCCCTTGCTATGACCTGATGTCTCTTTTGCTGGCCTGTGTGTTTAGTGATTGATGTCATTTAGCCCCCAGACCCGACTGAACTCCCAGAACTTGTTTAGGGCAGTTTGCATATACGCCAGACTCCCCCACAGGCTTCAGACCTCAGCCCCAGCGAGGCGTCAACCCAGTGTGGCCCAGCTCCCACCCCCAGAGGTCACTCCACCATCTGTCATGACTCAGAACTACATAACTGTCCCTTGTCCTGCAAAGAGGTGTCATGTCAGGGGAAAGGAGCAAGTAAAAAACTTGAGAAGAAAGGTAAGGCACAAGAGTAGAAAGGAAGCAATAAAAATGAAAATACAAATGAAACAAGATGTAGTCCAGCAGGCAGAAAGGGAGAAAAGAAAGATCCATAAAAAGTCAATCAAAACTACTGCTAAAGGGTGAAAATTAAAGATAAGAAAACAGAGACTACAAAGCCATTTGAAGTTTTGGAGCTTAGATCCATGGCTGGTGTCTGGGGTCTTCCATTTCCTGCGACACCTGGCCACGCTCCGTAGAGAGCACTGAGCCCAGCTGCCCTGGTGCAGACCCCAGGCCTCCTCCACCTCTCTTATACCCTCACAGTACTTTGTGACGTGCCCTGCAGGGATTCCACTGTGGGCTGTCACCTAACCCTACCATGCAGGGACCAGTTGACTTGCTGTCCTCAGCCTACACATCCCTGCCCCCTTCAGGTCTGCAATCCTCCAGACTGCCTTTAGCAGCTTCTCCAGAGCAGGACCTTCCTGAAGCCTGCTACAGAACACTGCAAAAAGCTTATTGTCCTCCACTGTTGAGCTGCTCTTAAAGCTAATTTAACCTCAAAACTCAGAGCATCTGTTTGCCTCCTATTTTTAGTTCTCTCTCTGAAATAGTCTGAATGTTGCTTTAAAGGGTATGTGTGTGTGTTGGTGTGTAAACTTAAGGTCTAGCCTTACTGCTCTTAATTCGTTACCTCAGGATCTCTGAGAGATCAGGCAATACTTCTTAGTGGAACCAAACCTTTATCTCTTCTGACTACATGATGATCATTCACAGAAATCAGACACTGAATAAGCAGAATTAGATCAATGTCTTCACAGAGTACAAAATAAATAGAATCATGAAATCAATCTGTCAATGATTTAGATTACAATTGTACTCTAGTATATTCATTTGAAACTATTTTTTTTAACTGATACAGGACCTCACTATGCAGTTCAGACTCCTAGCGATCCTCCTGTCTCTGCCTCCTCAGCACTGGAATTACAGGCATGTGCCACCACGCCCAGTTTTGGTGGCTGGCATGGCATATGGTACCAGGGATCGAACCTGGGTCCTTACCCTCACTAGACAGGCACTTAGACTGTCAAGCCACCTCCTCAGCTTCATTTGCAACTGTTATTTGGTGCAGACTTTAAGTAAAAATCCAAAAGCTCCTGTAACACCAGTTCTCCCTTTCAGTTTCGGTACTCTGACTGGCAGGACAAAGCATTCATGCTCCTGGGCACCGTCATGGCCATTGCTCACGGATCAGGGCTTCCCCTCATGATGATAGTGTTTGGGCAAATGACGGATAAATTTGTTAACACTGCTGGAAATTTCTCCTTTCCAGGTAATCATTTCCTTTTTTTCTTTACAAGCCATGAAATTTCTCTGAGTAAAAGGTTAGAAATTGATTTTAAATATTTATCAGATTCCTGTTAATGGTTTAGACAACTGGAAGACTCTACTCAAAAGAAAGAAATTGCAAAATTATTAGAAGAATTGCCAAATGTTCATTTAGCTGTCAAGAAATGCATGTGTGCCATTTGATTGTTAATATAGGAAAAGGAACATTACAGAAAGCTTTGCATGTAAACCAAGTAGGGAAGCTACTCTACTCGAGGACAGTGAGAGCAGGGTAAGTGGCATCTCTGCTGTCCCATTCGTCATTACTGATGGGTTTCAAGACATGTCAGTTATTATGACAGTATTTTTTAGCTGTGGACAGCTTGTAAATCTATTTTTCAGTTTTTTGGTCTCACCTTCCTTCAACTTTAAAAAATCATAGCCATTTCTGTCTGCTTTTTTGATCTGTGAAATTGACTAGAACTGGATATAACATTCATTATAGAGAAAATAGACTCAGTGTGAGGGTGATGTGCTTCGGAGCTCACCCAGAAGGCTACAAATACTGATGCAACAAAAGAATCCCTGGTGTCAGAGACCGACAAGAGGGGCCCTGGTGGCGCCGCGCAGCAGGGATCCAGTAGACGCTCTTACGTTCCTATTAGCCAAATTCCATGTAACAAGGACACTTTCTATGGTTTCTACCAAGCCAATAGCTCTGTTTCTCATGAACCCTTGAGGTTACTGGGCTAGGGAAGACTAAATGAAGCTTTGATGAGCAGTTGGTAGAATTAAAGTAACATAATAAAGGCAGCTGTTTTAGCAAAGACAATTGAGAAAAATGTGCTCCATCTTTGTTCTGTTCTTGTTTGTTTTATGAGACAGGTTATCCTTCCTTACTCCACCCAGTCGTAAGCTCATGACCCTCCTGCCTACATCTAGAAGGACCAGGATTATGAGACCACAGGTGTGTGCCACCATGCCCAGCTGTGCTCCATCATTTAGAAGAATTTCATAGAAGTTTTTGTTCAGTATTTGAGATTATATATCTAGTTGTTTTTGCAGAGTATAAATGTAGTTATCAAAGGGAATATGATTGTTTTATTAACAAAATAGAATATGTTTACATAAATATCAATGTCTTTTACAAATACAGAAACAGTTACAGCAAGTGCCTACAAAAGCATAGTTTATTTGTTCTTAAGTACTATGACCTCTGAGCAGAAAACTTTATTTTATGAATGGCCATCAAATTCCTTCATTGAGCTTACCCTGTGCTAGGTCCTATGCTGAGTGCGGTGCATACACAATTTCCGCTGACCCTCGTAAGAACAACTCTCCATGGCAGGTGGCCTTACTCCTAGGGTATGTAGAGAAAGGAACGCGTGGAGAGAGTAATCATCTTGTCCACTGTCACACTGCTGTGAGTGCGAGGCAGGTCCACGCAGGGCCTTTCTGACCTCCTGACCACGATCACAACCAGGTACACTTCCTCAAGGATAAATAACTGTGTTTTCACTAGGACAATAAATAAGTTTTGGGGAGTTTTAAATAGATTGCTTATATTTGACAAGTGACCAAACCCTGCACAAAACACTGTGAATAAAGAAGTTGGAGTAGGACAGCCTCCTTTGAAAAGTTTTTTAGGAAGTGATGGAAGCAGTAATTTTCTATTTGTTTTCCTTTTACTCTGTATAATGGCTAGATCTGTTGCATTTTAATTATGTATAATACATATACAACATATATTTTGTATATAAAGATAGATGTATATATCAGGACAGTGTTCATAATGGAACACATCAATAAAAACTTGATCTCTACTCAGTTTTATCCATTAATGGATGGATAAAGAAAATGTGTTCTATGATACTGTGGAATAAACAGACAGGAAATTCTGATACACACTACCACCTGAATGAAACTTTAAACATTGTGGCAAGTAAACTAAGCCAGTTTACAAAAAGACAAACACTGTATGACTTCATTTTTATGAGATGTTTAGTCAAATTCATAGGGACAGATAGTAGAGTAGTGGTTACAACGGGTTGGAGGAGAGGGATATGGGAAGCTCTTGTTTAATTAGCATGAAGTTTTAATTTTGCAAAATGAAAAGGCTTAGAAAATTGGTTGTACAATAGTTTGAGCATACTTAGCACTACTGGATAGCACACCTAAAAATAGTTATGTATTTTATAGCAAGTTTTAAAATTTGTAAGGGATCAAGACAGTGGGATTCACTTATCACAGATCAGTTCACTTTTGGACCTGTTTTCTTAATCCTGTTTTGTTTTTGCTAACATCAGAGTCATCTACAGCTTACAATTTGGAGCAGCGTGTTTGTTTTCTCTTTGCCATTAGTTATGCAATCAAACAGCTTTGAAGCTGGTCAAGGCAGTCCAGGATTGTGTGCTATGCCCAGGGCCAAATTCAAGGTCTCACTGGGGAATGGCATGAGTAAGTAACTGCTGAAAGGATTAATTTAGGAGAGTCGCCAACTTCATTTCAATAGCTCCCAAATTCTAAATACTTGGTTTAGGGCCTTTGGCCCTGGCAGGTCATTATGCATGTTGGCTATCTTGGAGGCTTTCAAATGATAAGTCTCTCAGATTTTATGAATTTCTAATATCCACTCCCCTTTTTGGAGAAAATGAAGTCTTTCAAGGAAACCCTACACTCAGAATGCTCCTTGATATGTTCAGAGTTGTAGAGTTTGGTAAAAAAAAAATCATAGCAATTGAGAGCAGATAGTGCACTTAATTGCGGCCCTCAACGATGGCAAACCTTTTAGAGTTTTCAATGATAACAAATTGCTAACTCATTGAAATGAGAAGGTGTTCATTTAGGGTCTGTTTTTACAATTGTTAGATTCTGAGACAACTAGACTTAGTGGAAGCCAAGTGACAGGGGAATGCTAGGAGAGAAAAGGGTTGGACTGCAAGAGAGCTGACAATGATCCATTGTGAACACAGCCCAGCCCTGTCAACACAGCTGCCCAACGAATCTGCACCCATAGAAGCTATGCACAGAACATTTGATCCAAAACTTCAGGGGCAGTCCAAGCAAGCAGCTCTTCTGCAGAGGCTCAAGAGCTTGGTGTCTTTCATGCCATATCTGTGGGACTACGATAATGTAAATTCTGCAAGAAAATTGCTGTGCCCTGCATATCCTGCCCTGCCTGGAGGTTGTGGGGAAAGGCATGTTGGACCCCAGCTTACTTTAATGGTCTGCAGTACCCATGCTGCCTGACCTACAACTGCTCTTTGTTTTCTGCTGAATATTTCTGTTTGCTAAAAGAAGTCCTGGGAAGAATCAAGAAAGGCAGGTGTTGATTCATTTGAGGCACAGATACTACAGTGAGGACTCCATTTCCCCATCCTGACCCCTAGTGCATGCAGTCCCTTCAGGCCCTGCATGCACGCACAGCTATGTGACCTTGATTAAGTTGCTCAACATCTCTAACCCTGATGGCTCCTGTATTTGAAAGGTAATAGTAGATTTATGAATAGAATTATATGAGGTGATTTATGAAAAATGTCTGGAACATAAGCAATCAACAAATATCAGGGGACAACTAGCTGAGAACTTGGAAGTGTAACAGCCAGTCTGAGCTTCTGTTTTTCCACCTGCCATGTGGGTGGGTTGTGTGGGAACTCTGAAATGAACAGGCCACCTCAGGAGTTCCTCCTTCCTTTGTTGCTTCAATGGATGTAGGAGTCCTCCCTCCTGTCACATTAGGGTCACCCGGGATGCCTTTAACCAATATGACACTCTGGACTCTGTTCTACGATCTGGTTTAATTGCACTTGGGTAGAGTCTGGGCATCTGTATTTTTTCAGGGCTCTCAATGACATTGAGAAGACCAAATCAGATGACTCCCAGGAGAATGTATTTGCAGCTGAAACATCAGAGGCAGTAGGTCCTACAGATGAAGAGCCCTCGAGTGTTCTGAGAAAGTCCCTGCCCTTTCCCCAACATCTGTCCTGCCCTTGTTCAGACAGCCAGAACTCTGCACTTCCAGGCACTGCCGTAGAACTAGATCACTGTTCTTTCCCTGGGACTAAGGGAGGAAAGAGTTAAATCGGAATGCCTACAGAACCCTATTTCTTAATAGAAAGACAGCGTTAGGTATGGAAAGAATTAGAAAGTTCAAGACATAAGTCGAAAGAAAGGAAGGTTTGTTCAGTATTTCACCTGATTTCTAAATCAGGAAGAAACCCCACAGTAAGTTCTTCAGATGCTGCAGATTAAGAGTGGCTCAGTGGTCTCCAATTCCAAGCGTATATCCAGAGTCTGCTGCATGAGAACTCACTCAGGAAGGAGACAGTGCTCCAAACTGCCCCAGCTGCTGAGGAAACAAGGGAAAGGCTAGGCCTCCCCAGGGGCTTGAAAGCTGGTTGAAAGTCAGTCGGAAGCATTTTGCATCAATAGGAAAAGCTGGTGTTTTAATGGGTGCCAGGTAACCAATCCTGAGGTAAGTTCTGAGTAAACTTAAAACCTTATCTCCCTTTGGAAAAAGATAAGAAGGATACACAATTCTCAGCATGTCCTTACACTGTGTACACACATGAATGAACAAAGACAGGCAAGTTTTTCTGCCAGGACCAGAGAAATAGGAAATAACCTTCCCGCTGTGGTGATTTTTATACTATTACTTCTTGAATTCAGTAAATATAGCCTGTTTCATTTTATTTCTTCACTTTGAATTTTTAGAAAATAAACCAAATCATTTTCAAACAAATCAATCAGTGCAATAGTATTAGAGCATAAGCCAAACTTCTGGGGCTGACTTGGGAGCTCTGTAGCTTTGGATAAGTTACTTTATTTCTCTCTGTATCAGCGTAGTCTTCTGTAAAAAAAAAAAAAAAAAACTAAATAAAAAATAATCTTCTATAAAAGAATAGAAAATAGCCCTACCTCATGGTTTGTTTTCAAAAGTAAATGAGCTAATGCGTGTAAAGTGCTCAGAGCAGCACCTAGCACAGAATAACAGCTCTCACCACGCAGGGGGTCTCGTGCTCATTTTTGTAGCCCCAGGCTGGTCTTGAGCTTGGAGTAATCATCCTATTTCGACTTCCCGAATGCTGGGATTACAGGCAAGTGCCACCACAAGCAGTTCCAGGCTGGCAGGGCCTGTCCAGGGATCTGGGGCCAGCATAGCATGCAGGACAGGGGATCAAACTCCAGTCCTTGTGCTTGCCTGGTATGTGCTTATGCCTCTGAACTATCTCGCCAGCCCCAATAATAGCAATTATTAATGCAAGAGAACCATGAAATGCACATTGACCTTTTCTCTAATTAGCTTAAATTAATATACAATATATTTCATTCCCATTAATGTTCTTTTAAAAATATCACAATACAGTGATGTTATTAAATAAGGCAGGCACGCAGGCCTTGAGCAGTGGTCAGTGATGTGATTTGTCTTTGGGGAACTCAATTATCTTCCTGGCTTTATTCTTCCCAGCAGTGGATATGATTTGCCCTTTCTCTCACTGATGTCATAAAGCAGGAAGAGAAACACAGATACAAACATGAGGCGTGCAGAAGCAAATGTTTGCAAAGTACTTAAGGCCAAGAAGAAGGCGCTCCTTACGTCTCATGCTTCTGCTCTGGCCCTTGGCAGCTGCCCCTGCTGCTCTGCGCGCTCTGTGGCTCCCATGCCCCTCTGTGCCGCAAAGACCCAGAAATCCAGGGTGAGAGAACGTGGGTGCTCATGTGGCCCCTGGGCCCATGACACTCTAAATCTCAGGCGAGGCGCAGGGTGTACTTGCATGTGCAAAAAGGAAAGGAGAGCTTTCCTAGAGAAACTTGCCTGTAAGGTCTTCTATCGGTAGCTCATACTCTTAAATTTATAGCAGATTTTCAAATTCTAGCAGTGACTGCTAATAGTTCAATTTTTCAAATATGTTTTTGTTTTCTTTTGTTTTTATTTAGTGAATTTTTCATTGTCACAGCTAAATCCAGGCAGAATTTTGGAAGAAGAAATGACTAGGTAATTTACATGTATTTATGTATGGTGTGCTACTTTTAATGTTTCATTTGAAGGTAGTTCCAAACCACAGAGTTGAAAGAACATAGTGAGGGTGCCCTTGCTCTTCCCCTGTATACAGTCAGCCACTGTATTTCTTGGGCCCGGGGCCCCTACTCGGGGGGCTTAAGCACTACGATGCTTCCCTCCTTAGCCAGGGTGCAGTTATTAATGGCAGCAAATTTAATATCGACCCAATACTTTTATATGACTTGCCATGTGTATTTTAGTGTTTCCAGTTAACCCAATAGGGTTATTCGTGATATTTTCTCCCCTTTGGGTCTCCCCACAGGAGCCTCAAAACCTGTAACCTAATGTTTATGTGGCTGCATTTCACTTAATGTTGCTGGTTGAAATGAGTCTCTCTGCTAAAGCAGGCTTGCAAGCTTTCTACCTAAACAGTTTATAAACTTAGGTTAAAATATATTTGAAAATACTGAAACAATTTAATACTGTTAAAAATGCTAATTTTCTATTTATGTGGTTAAGTTTTCTACCCAGATTAGTTTGAATTCATGACTTTAATCATATTATTTAAAAAATATTTTACAGATTAGTTTGAATTCATGACTTTTATCATATTATTTTAAAAATATTTTAAGATTCTGTCAGGTAGGAAGAGGTGTTTTATTCTCTGTGCAAGTGATATAGGAACGCTTACACAGAGAACTATGTATTTGTCATATTTATTCCTCTATTTGCATTATGTAAGCAGTAGTGAACTTTCTCAGCATAATACAACAGGTGGGCTTAAGATCCCATTATGGATGAGAAGTTAAATGGCATTTTGAAAGTGTCATCAGTTAAAAGTACACCATTGTCACACTTTTAGTCTGCTGCTAACCACAATAGTTTATCTACTTTCATTGGATGATTGTTTAAGTAGATAGATTTTCCATCCTGAAGTTCATCTTCTTGTCATTTAAGAAGGAAAAAACTCCTTTGTAATGTCTTCTGCAGTCTTTGTGATGAGTTTAGTAAAATGATTAATTTCCAACACTGAGAATTTCTCCTGGAACAGATGAAGAAGCAAGGTATTTGAAGAGGCCTTTCTACCTATTTTCCAGATACGCCTATTATTATTCAGGATTAGGTGCTGGAGTTCTGGTTGCTGCCTATATACAGGTTTCATTTTGGACTTTGGCAGCTGGCCGACAGATTAAGAAAATTAGGCAAAAGTTTTTTCATGCTGTTCTACGACAGGAAATAGGCTGGTTTGACATCAACGACATTGCTGAACTCAATACACGGCTAACGGAGTAAGTATACTGTTAATGTCATGCTTTCGTGAAGAAAGGAAGCACTAATTCTTGAGAATTTTCAAGGGTTGTTTTAAACAAAAGCAATACTGGATTAAGAGCTTGGCATAGTTGGAGAAAGAGCCCCTGACCGCCATTGCGGGACACTCTGCAGCCTCTGCCACCGCGTGTCTCCCGTATCTGCTCTTTCTCTCCTAGCCACAGCAGGGTTACTGGGGACCAGAGCACATCTTAGCCATGCTGGGGTCACTGCAGGCCTGACAGGTGCTAAGGCATTCAGGAAAGACAGGTGGGTGGGTGAATGAAGGACTGCATTAATGCACAGGAAGGCTTGCTTAGTAGATGGTGGGTCTTCCTCAGCAAACATCTGAGGACCTGCTCCACGCTGAGCACCGTTCGAGGGACCAGGGAACACAGCATACAGCTCTGCCTCTGGTGCTCAAAGCAGGGGCAGTGAGACAAGGTGAACATTCCTGGTTGGGAGTTCTAGCAAGAGCATGGTGAGCAGATAAGGTCGAAACAGGAAGACCTTTTAGGCTTCGGCAAGGACTTGGTCCTTTGCCCTGAGCAGAGTGGCAACCTCTGGAAGGTTTTGCTTTAAGGTGCTGTGATCAGACCTGCACTTCTGGAGGACCCCACTGGGCACTGTGAGAGTAGGAGCAGGGGCTGAAGCCAGGCGCTGTTCCCTGTGGCCTCCCTGGAGAGGCCAAATGGGCCTTCTCTGACAAGCCTGGAGGCAGAGGTGGCTCAATTAGGTAGTTTTTCAGATTGTAAAATACTTGAATAGACTTTACCAGTGAAACATTCTTTTCTTTTCTTTTCTTTTTTTTGAAGGGGGGCTGGCTTATCCCACCTTGGGGTGCGTGGTTGCCTGTGGTGCCAGGGATCAAACCACAGTCCCTGTGCTTGCCTAAGCTTGCCTGCTGGCGCTTTAGACTGCTGAGATATTCTCGCCAGCCCAACCAGTGGAACACTCTTCATCTAAAAATATGAAATCTGAAATGCTTCAAAATCTGAAACTAGGGGGCCAGGGAGATGGCTCAGTAGAATAAATGCTTGCCTGGCAAGCGCAGGGTCCTGAGTTCAATTCCCGGTACCACAAAAAAAAAAAAAAAAATTGAAACTTAGTACTCAAAAGCTTTCAGATTTTGGAGCATTTCAGATTTTATTTATTTATTTATTTTTTGGTGGAACCAGGGATTGAACTCAGGCCCTTGCGCTTGCCAGGCAGGCGCTTATTCTACTGAGCCGTCTCCCCGGCCCCCAGATTTTAGTGTTTTAGGCAGGGGATGCTTAAGCTGCAATAGGAAATAATATTTCCAGGTGATTGTTTCCAGTATTATGCCAAAGCCTTTCCTGATTCTTGATTTTAAACAAATTGATTCATGAGTTCAAGAAGTCAGCACTTCTCTAATAGGATTAGCTGACTTAATAGTATCAACTTCAGTTATATTAGCTTCGTAGCACATAAGCTAATCCTGAATTTTGGAGAACATACCACTCTGGAGGCTCGGACTGTGCAAGCGGCTAGAAGTAGAGTGAACATGTTTTATGTGTTGTCTATGTATTTGTGAAATATCTGCTTCACCTTTCTAATGGAAAGACCTCTGCATGTAACCACTGAGGTGTGATCTTTTTTAGTGACATCTCCAAAATCAGTGAAGGAATTGGTGACAAGGTTGGAATGTTCTTTCAAGCAGTGGCCACGTTTTTTGCAGGATTTGTAGTGGGTTTCGTCAGAGGCTGGAAGCTCACCCTGGTGGTCATGGCCATCAGCCCCGTGCTGGGACTGTCCACCGCTGTCTGGGCAAAGGTCTGTGACACCTGGCATCTTCTGTTTATTTAACTCATGTGCATGTAGTTATTTTAATTCCAGAGCCCAGTATTTGTACAAATCCACATTAAATGTCTGCGAAATCATATGCAGAAGGGTATTGTTAATGTGGAGCTTTAATAAGTAATTGGCTTGTAATGTGCTTCAGAATGTCACAGTTTTAACCTCAGCTCTAGACTTCTTTGCACTATTATTTATTTGGGTAAACCTAGCACAGTACTTTAAGCGGCCTGTGTAGTTATGTCATTTGAGGAAACACGGCTTTACAATATAGCATTCCTCCAAATGAACACATGAGTTGCATTTTGGGGCTTCGGTGCTGTCTGTGGATTTTTACCCAGGACAGTTACGAGGTCTCCTGCCAGTTTTGCCTTATGACAAAAGGCGCATATCTGCTTTCCTATTGCCAACACTTTAGAGCGGAGAAATTCTGCTGGCAAGTTTTGTTCCTTTGGGGATTGAGAATTTCTCTAGAGAAGGATTTGTATCTTTTTTACTTTAACTCCCCTTTTACTTTCCTTTGGAAAGATCCTTTTTAGCTTTCTCTGTATTCAGTGGACTACCCAGGAGCAAATCTGAAAGCATTACTTTCATAGCACTTAAAAATTGTGACATCAAAAGAGAAACCATGCTGAATGATCTCAAAATGCAAAGTTTTATTTTGTTTTGCCTTACAACAAACTGAAAAAAAAATAGTAGCTGTGGATTTTGACCCTATTCCCAGAAGCACCACTCAGGACCCTGGGCTTCCTTTTCTTGGGTGCTCTGGGAACACCCATCATGGGGGTGAAGGTGGCCACAGCTCTGGGCTGCTGTGTGCCATCTGCATGGGACTCTGACATTTGGTGAAGCACAGAGCTCACCAAGACTTAGGGAAGAGCTTCCCGACCGTCTTGAGCACTATTCCCATGCCCACACTCCTCCTCACCACTTCACTTCTGTTCAGGTCCTCTCTGCGTTTAGTGACAAGGAGCTGGCTGCGTATGCCAAGGCGGGTGCTGTGGCAGAGGAGGCCTTGGGAGCCATCAGGACCGTGATAGCTTTCGGAGGCCAGAACAAAATGCTGGAAAGGTCAGAACCAGTTAAAGGACCCCCTTTTCTTTTTCACTGTTCACCGTGGTATGTGCTTAAAACTCTCAACATTCACACTTCTCCCCTTGCTGAGGGCTGTCCAGTAAGGTCAGGCTCAAACACAGGATTCTCAGCATTTATGTTCTGTGACTCCTTTGGTGTCAGATGATGCCCACAGGCTGATATATTTTTAAACGTGTTAAAAATAATCTTATTTAAAATAAAACAGATAGCATTTCAAAGGACACTAATCATTTTTGGCTCAGTTACCAAATTGCTTTCACTCTCTTTCTAACTGTGATCTGAAATATAAGAAAGAGAGCCCTAGTGGCTGAGACCCCCTAGTTGCAGCCCAGGGCACCTCCCCAGTGTCCAAGACAGTCTGGCAAATAGCACCTGAAGGCGTCTGTATGCTGTCTGTGGCCCTGCACACAGAGGGGAACATGAGCTATCCCTTGAAAATGCTTTTTGTTGTGATGTGACTGTCATATGTAGAGCTGTCCACATGTAATGGGTGGGTTGTGATGAGTTCAGAGACAAGCACACATCCACAGAGAAGTCCTCTGCTTGATTTAGATGTAAATAATTATTTGTCTCCTCAAATAACAACACACCCTCATTGAATGTCACTCCATGCAAAGTGTGATCTTCATTTATTGTTCTATGAGACCTCAAGATCACAGTTATTGAAAGAAAATTTCCACTGTTCAAAGCAAAGGGGTCCCTCATCCCTTTCATTCTATTTCCTACCTTTGTATTTCTTAATTCCCCTCAGGACATGCATCTCTGGTTCTCTAAGTCTTCCTTTCTCTCTCCGGCTGCTGCTTGCTGCACAGACTGCACCCGTCAACAGGTGGACCTCAGGGAGTCAGCATGATTAGGCACAGTAAGCCCACACAAGTTGCCTAAGCAAGGTGATGCCAATGTATCCACCTGCCTCTGGGCTCCTTGTCCCTGTGTGATGGACACAGCTGCTGCAAGCACTCAGGCTTGGTCGCCCATGCAGACCCTGTCTGGATTGGCCTTAGCTGGCAAGGTGCAGCTCAGCTGGGAGGAGGAGCACCCAAGTAGGGAGTGCTGTGGAGCCCAGGTGTTATAAGCAGCTGGCCAGGCACAGCTCAGCTGGGAGGAGGA